CTCCGGCCGGCCGGCCTGGACGAGGGCGCGGCCCCGAGAGTCCCCGCTGGCTCCTTTCTCCTGCCCGCGCCCCCTCTCCACGACGTTGAGCCATAGGCTGCCGAGCTGAGGCTCCGAGAGAAAGTGAGTAAGAGTGGGCCGCGGGAGGTGAGAAGGGAGGGGCCCCTTTCAGGGCCTCCCCACCCCGGCCCCGGCCCGCCCCTCGCCCTGGAGGAGGATGAACCGAGTGGGCTGGCGTAGGCGGGAGGGAGCTCGTCGACCCCTTTCCCGCTCCTGGCCCGCACCGACTCCCCCTGTGCCCCGGTGATTTTCAGTGTGAAGTTCGAATCGGTAAAGCTCTTCCTTGGGGTCTGATTTAGCGGCGGGGGTACAACGCCGATGCTGCGAGCCGCTGAGTAGGGAGAGATGGTTTGAAGACTGTTTCGAGAAGAGGTCTCCATCCTTGTCGAAGGTCCTGCGCGCTACTGAAACGGCACGAGCGCGTGCGCGTGGGCTGGGGTGTCGCGGCCGAGTTTGCCTACGGGAGGACTTACCCCAGCCTGGGCGGGCTGGCCTCGGACGCCCCCTTCCAGGGCCCCACCTGTGCGCTGGAACTCAGCCCCGCCCTCTGGCACCTCCCGGGGATCGCAGGTTTCCCGGCCCCAGGTGGACGAGAAGAGAAGCAGCTGGCCGAGGAATCACCGTTCATTTTAAATGAAAAAAACAACAAATCCTGGGGAGATTTCCCCGGAGGTCTAAATATAGAGGCATTAGTTCTGGAGGGAGAACTCCTAGCAGGTTTGCGGGTGTCCAGAAGCGGGATGCACTGTATATCTTGTGGACCTAAATAAATGAAAGTCTTCCCCAGTTAGACAAAGTCTGCCTAAAGAAAAGTGTTTCTAAAATGATCTGTATATTATCACGAGTGGTGCTTTGACGTTTACAGAATCCCTGCAAATCGGCATCAGGACGAACCTCTAAGGGGTTGCATGAAAAATGTGCTTTCTGCCCACTTGAGTATTTAACATGGGAGCTGATGTTTTTTGGTGGATGGATTTTGAAGAGGAGATAAGGCAGTTTCCGCATTTTGGCAATGGAGGAATGTTTGCCATATATGGATTTGCTGTACTTCTGGGACATAGATTTCGCCGAGCTAACGTGGAAGTTGGTGACGTTGGAGATGGATAGCTGATTGTACTGTTAAGGCTGGCGCAGTGGCTGGATAAGGCTTGTTGTGCCCGTTTCACTTCCTGGGCCCGGATTTATTTTACTAGTGAAGCTAGGTTTTTCCTAGAAAGAGTGACCGGTTAAAATAACCAAAAAGAATGTACTGGAATATTTGATCCAGTCTTGAGTTCAGTGTAGGGTCCCTATAACAAACTTACCATTTCTCCCAGGAGCTGGTGTATTCACATGACTTCTGTGTACATGTGATGGCAAATGCGTCTTCTGATCCACAGACGTTTTATCTGACGTTCTTCCTGCTTTGAGGATTTTAATATAAAATAAATCATAAAGTTATAAGGGCTTTAAGACTCTAAACTCTCATTTAATAAACAGATCTGAAGATGAACCCCATCAAGGTTAAATCACTTGCACAATCTCATCTAATTAGGTAGTTTAAAAAACAGGACCCAGGGACCCAAATTAGGTTGATTTTTCTCTATCCAAGGCTTTATTCCCAAATACCAGTTTTATGTTCTTTATCCAAAATAAAAACCTTTAAAAATCACATTTCAGTGGTTTGAGCTCTGGCTCCAGGTGATTAATCCATCTTAGTAGTTTAAAAACAGGACTTTCTTATGCTTGTACTTTAAGACTAAGGATACTTAAAGGTAAATTAATTTTGGTTTTAAAAAATTATGCAGCTGTTATAACCTATGACCCTAGGTTTCAAGATGTAGGGAGTTTATAAAGGATTACGGAAATGAGACAAACTTGTTCTTTATTGATACATGGGAGCCAGAATTGATTCCATCTGTTGTTAGTTATGACAGTCAATAAATAGTGTCACTGATGAGATAGGTGAGCTTATTCTCAGTGCCACTGATAGAATTTCCAAATAGTCACTAAGCAGTGTTATACATGTGAACTAACTTCTGATTTGTTTTTCACAGAGGGAAATTGCAAAGCTCACCTACAGCCAGATTGACAGCATAATTTTCTAGGAATCAGGAATCAACATTGGGTTATTTCCTAAGATTAAACCCTGAAAGCCCCCTTGGAGGCTGCCCAGCCATCTGTACACTTGAACATGAAAAATGGTCTTCTTTCATCAGGGAGATCGCCCTCTTCAGCTAAATCGTCAGAAGTGGTGAAAAGAAGGGACCTCTACCCAACCAAACTCAGCTAGACAAATTAAATCGATCTTTCTAAAGCAAGGAATGGAGGTGCATAAGGGTGGCGAGATCACTGTCTTCTGCTCACACCAGTACTGAGCAGCCCCTCCAGGACTGCCGCCTACATACAGATTGTGCCCTGAGCAAGGGCACCTGGCCGAGGTGGTGAATGGGAGCCGATGTCCTGCCCGCGCTTCACTCACAAAGAAGTCTCTTGATGCATGACCGTGTCTACCCAGACAATGTGGCTCCTGTTTCTCATTTGACCCAAGGCACCTTGTATGGGCTAGGGGCAACTCGGACCATCCCACCCCCATATGCCATCCTTATCCAGGATTACATCCCTTACTTCAGGTAGATTAAATGTTCTCGTGAACAATTTAGGTTTATTGTAAAAGATGAAATGTTTGACACAATTGAAATTTAATAGGCGAAGCTCCAAATGTTACCATGTATGTGAATTATGTATGTACATATATAAATATGTACGTACATATAGTGATTTCGATGTACATTATGTATCAGAAGTTAGCACATTTGGTAAATTTATAAAATAAAATTATTTTGGATATTGAAATCGGTTTTATATATGGATTTCTGGCCTTTACAGAAATATGGACTCTCATTCTATTTCAACAAGTACATATTAAGTATATGTATGCAGTAATAAAAAAAAACAATGCAAACACCTACCTCTAGGTAGTTAATCTTGTAAGGAAACTACAATTGTAAATTATAAGAAGGGCTATGAAAGAAATACCAAGTTGGAGCATAACAAGGCACACGTATTTCAGATTTAGTGACTGGAAAAAGCCTCTCTGTGAAAATGAAATTTCCGCTGAGACCTGAGGATGAGTCTGAAGGAGTTTATAAAGTGACTCCATCCTACTATTCAAAGTACAGAAGCATTTGATTTCTTAGAATATGATAGAGTGAAGCATTTTTAGAATATGATAGATTGAAGGGAAAACACAGAATAAAGCATATAACTAAAAAAGTAAAGGTTACAGGACAAATTTATAATGTAGTTTACAGACTTTAGGTAACTAACCAAGTTATACTCATGTATTTGCCATTTTGCAAGTATCCTTTCTTCTTTCGTATCTTCATCCATCTTTAAATCCTGGCTTTCCACTCAATTTGTAGGAATTATTCTGGTTTGAACAGCCCTTCTGCCATTGCATCTCATCTAACCAGCACATATATTTTCTGTTTTCATTTGTGCACTGTTGGCAACTCAGATTTTTTTTTCACACATGGAAGCTGAATATCCATGAGATGGTAAGCTCCAAAAGGACAGGAATTACATTTCCTTCTTTGATCACCCCAGCAAAGTCTCATCATACAGTGACAACCTGTCAATAAATACTGCTGAATGGCCAATCTTGTTTGACCTAATACTTTTTAAAGGTGTGAAAAGGAGGAAGTATTTGCATTATAAAAATTTTAAATTCTTAAGCAAAGGGAAGATGCCACTTAAAGTGCATTATCACTAAGGAATTTCAGGAGACATTGCTATAAAGTGTGATTCTGCAGAGGAAGGGCAGTCAATAAAGCCAAAGAATAAATACAGAAGATTAAAGCAAGCACAAGAAAAAATGATGCATTCAAGAGACGTGGTAAACACGAGATGTGTGAGGCTGCTGCAGGCGTAACAGCATACAGCTTTACAGCAAAATTTTTTTATAAATAGAGTATGCTCTAAAGTAACTATAAAAAGTATATCATAGTAAATACATGAACCAGTAACATACTTGTTTATTTTCATTATCAAGTATTATAGACTGTACATGATTGTATGTGCTATGCTTTTATATGACTGGCAGTGCAGTGGGTTTGTTTACACCAGCATCACCATGAGCATGCAAGTAATGCATTTGCTCCTACTGACATTATGACACGTTAAGACGGCTATGATGTCACTAGGCAATGGGAATTTTTAAACCTCATTATAATCTTATGGGACCACCATTGTATATGCAGTCTGTCATTGAACTGAAATGCTGTCATGCAGCTTATGACTGTACAGTGTCAGGAAAGGTGTCTACAGAGGTATGGGTGGAGACTAGGGCTTAGAAATTTGAGCCAAAACTTGAAGCAGCAAGCCACATGCACGCAGATGTCTGCAAGCACAGGCAACAAGTCAAAGGCCAGGAGGCAAGCATGCTTGGTGTGTTTAAGGATTAACAAAGACACCGTGTGGCTAGAGCAGAGGAGGTGACAGAGGAAATGACAAGAATGAGCACAGGGAAGGAGCCAGGGATCTAGATAGCATAGAATCTTATAGGCTGCATTGTGGACTTTGGCTTTTATTCAGAATGAAATGGTACTCACTCGGGGGTCTTGTCAGAGATAAAGAAACTGCTCCATAGAGCAAATTAAATATAAGGAATTGGTTAAATGGGTGTCAGGAAACTGAAAACGTAGAAAGGAAACGCTGAAGCACAGCAGCAACTGCAGGGAGCAGCTCCTACCCTAGGGGGTGGGGCGCAAGGGGAGTTAGGGCTAACAGGACCTGGACGCTGATAGGAGAGTCGGGTGTAACTGCCGATTGGGGGTTGCTGCCCAGTGGGGCCCCCAAGATGGTGAAATGAGTTGATTCTGGGCATGCTGGAAGGGCACTGGAGGCTGGAACCAACAGCCACTAATGGTGTATTAGTTTCCTGGGCCATAAAAAGTACCACCAACTAGGTGGCTTAAAGCAACAGAAATGTATTCTCTCACAACTCCGGAGGCCAAAGTCTGAAGCCAAAATGTAGGCAGGGTTGGTTCCCTCTGAGAGATCTGAGAGGGAATCTGCTCCAGTCTCTCTCCTAGTCCTGGTAGCCTCAGGGGTTCCTCTCCTTGGTTAGTAGATAGTGTCTCTCTGTGTCTCCACATCATAAGCCCTCTGTGCATGTCTGTCTCTGTGTCCACATTTCTCTGTTATAAAGACACCAGTCATAGTGGATTAAGATTCATCTCATCTTAACTTGATCATCTGCAAAGACCTCATTTTCAAATAAGGTCGCATTCACCAATACTAAAAGTTAGAACTTTACCATCTTTTTGGGGGGGACACAATTTGACTCATAACACAAGATAAGGGGTCCTTTCCAGAGAGATGCAGACAGGAACGGCAAGGTGAGAGGAAGAAGCAAGTCCCTTCTGTCGTAGTTTTACCTTCCAGCCTCCCTCTTGTGCCCTGTTCGAGGTCAGGTTGCCAATGAGCAGAGCCCAAAACATGAAACCCTGGGCAAGTGGTTTATTGAAAGAGTACTCTGCGAAGCAAGATAAGGCAGGGGAGAAAGCT